ATATTGGAACCTGTATTCTGTATAGATTTTATAGATTTTATCCTTTTACTATTGTAAACCGCCCAGAGTTACTCTGTGTTAAGATGGACGGTCAATGAATTTAATAAATAAATAAAATTTGAAACATTGAATTCATCTATCCATATCATCAAGAAGGTCAGAAATCTTTTTGAGGATGATACCAAAGTAATCAACTATCTGAAGAATCCAGGTTCCAATATAACTAGAGCCATGAAAGCTTGCTGAGTCACTGTCTTAATATTCCATTAATCTTAAACACTGTCCTTTGGGGCACAGAGAAAAAGTTTTCCAATGTCAATCCTTCCAGTGGTTCTCCTGATTGTGCTGAATAACCATATCTTTTTACCACTATTTGCAAAAGGGAATTTTCAGGCTTCCCAGTATTTTCTTTATGCTTCTCAAAACATGCTCCAGTTTGTTTCCTTCCTTCCTTCTTAAAAGGTAAAGTTTTGAATTGATCACAATAGTTTATAGATGGCCTGTTGGGTTTTGATGGTACTGCAATCTTTCATTTTTTACCATGGTTTTTCTGTGCAAATGAAATGAAGAGCCATCAGTCTGCTTTCCTACACTTCTAGAAAACCAGCAGTTACGATGAGGCCATTGGTCCTTGTTCCTGGGCCAGTAGGTAACAAAGTATAATGGCTAAGATTCTGGCAAGACTTCTTTGGCAGAAGCTGTTTCTATGTTTCGCTTAAATGTATAGTTAGACACCCTATTTATTTTTATTTTTCAGACAGACATCATTGACCATAGCTTTGCACTTGAATGGATGCAGGACTTTGATGCTTTTCAAGATGCCCTCAGTCAGGAAACCAGCTATGCCAGTAATTTAACTCGGTCTATGAGTCTTGTTTTAGATGAGTTCTACAACACACTTCAGGTGGGTGTTCTCTTTTGTGCTGTAAAGGGTGCAGTATGTTCTGTCTGCAGGCGGGTTTGTTGAAAATGTTATTGAGTAATGCAGTTTTTGGTATTGAATAGGAAGAGGTAGGTTGAAGTTAAGCAAGTCAAGCAAGACAGCTTTTAATTCATTTGAATCCATATTTCTAAAGCCACCCAATTTATCAACAACTTTCTCTTGCAGGTGGTGGGTGTTTCTGCTGTACAAGGAACAGGGATGGATGAATTTTTTGAACATTTATCCAAAGCTGTTGATGAATATGAAAGGTGAGGTTTTTTTCAGTAAAGGAAGGAAAATAGCAAGAGCAGCCTGGCGTGCTATGCATTATCTTTAGGGATATCTTGAGTTTTGGGACATACTGAATTTGAGTTTCTAAGATAACTTTTTCAAAAGGCAATTGGGTTTTCTTTATTTTTCCTTGAAGACATTTCACTTCTCATCCAAGAAGCTTCATTGGTTCTGATAGGATGGTGGGAGGATGGAAGGATTAGCTCTGACAGGATGAGGGCAGGGAAATGGAAGGATCATATTTCTTTGCACTCTGGTCTGCTCTGGTCATTAGCACTCTGTGAGAGCCATTGAGGTTGGGGGTTTTATCTGTGCCCTTAGGTCACCTGAATCAGAGGGCAAGTGGGAATTTGCACTCTGCAAACCTCAACTGAATTTGAGGTTGCCTAGAAACTCTAGAGAGAGCCAGTTTGTTGTAGTGATTAAGGCATCAGGCTAGAAACTGGGAGCTTCTGTAGTTCTAGTTCTGTCTTATGCCCTGAGGCATCTGGATGACCTTGGGCCAGTCAAATTGTGTCAGCAATGGCAAACCATTTCCAAAAAAACCTTGTCAAGAAAACTGCAGGGATTAGTCCAGGCAATCACCAGGAGTCATACTGACTCAAAGGCACAAAAAGAAAGAAAGAGTGAGTTTCGGCAAATAATGCTTCCAGTTATTTGTACCCTATGGATATACTAAGATTTCACAACAATCTTTAGAAATCAATTATTTGCGGTGTGTATTGGAGACCTCAACCGTTGAGCGGTTCCATATCACGTCT